CTCCACCAACAAAGTTCTTATTCCACCAATTTAAGGGCACAGGAGCCTAAGCTATAACAGAGTTGATATATTTAAAGTAACTCACCAAGGTAGAGTAATATTTTAAAAACACTAGTTTAGACCTTAAAAACCTTCAGCTGTCTCTGGATGGACTCAGAATAAAAGTAAGCTTCTTCTCTTAGCCTACCAGGCTGTACCTGTGTATCCCCTGCTACTCCTTCAACCTCAAAGGATCCCAGTTGCTTCTTCCCAACCTCAGCCCCTTTATTAAATAATCTTCATGTACCCTGTGCTCTCTACATCTCAGGATTCTGCACTTGCTGTCCCCTCTCTCAATAACACTCTGTTATAGGCTGTCCTCAGGGGAGGAGACAGCCTTTAAGTATCAGCCCCATGCTGCCTCCCCAGACAGATTATCTCTGACTCCATCTGTCACCTAAACTAGGTCTGCCCTCTCTCGCCTGCAACTGTTTTGTCCTATCATTTAGTTACTTTTCTCATTGCTGATACAAAATACACAACACCCAAAATTAAAGGAGGAAAGGTTTATTTAGCTCACAGTTTATAGAGGTCTTAGTCCATAATCGGCTGGCACCAAGGCAGGGTGGCATCACAGAGGAGAAACAGTTCATCTTGGGTTGGGCAGAAGGTAGCAAAGCAACAAGGGATGACCACAGCTCTTTCTGTCCCTTATGTCTTATCCAGGGTACTTAGGGTAGGCAGCACTCACACCCTTAATCCTAGTGCCCTTGATCCTAGCATTGCACCATGAATCAATCCCAGCATCACACACTCTAGATCCAGCCACCCCTGAAAAAGCCCCACCTATGAGTGCATGAGGCTTTGGGGGACATCTAGACATAAGCCAGCTCTAACACACACTTCCTGAATTGAACATATATTCTTTATCTGTTTGTTCCCTTACATTACCACCTTTTTTCCCTCCAACTAGAATGTAAACCTTTTAAAGGCAGGGCCCCTTCTATCTTACACTCACCCCATAAAACAATTCCTAGCAGGACGACACTACATGTATTCATTGCACTAGTGATTGAATGAATTACATGTAAATGTTCATTTCCTCTTTTCATGTGTATGTGTATACATGTACCCCTCAACACATCCATACACATTGTATTCCTTCACATATGTTTTCTATCTATCTATCTATCTATCTATCTATCATCTATCTATCTTATTCTGACCACTATATAAGCAAATATTCTTATTATCATTTTACAGCTAAGGAAATTGAGCAAATAGCTTACTGGTTAAGTTACTAAACTTCCAGATCACATAGCTGATTGTTAATATGTGCACACACACACTTAAACACACAAATACACACACATCATTGTGTGTTTGCCTGTTTTGCATGGATTAAGCTAGTGGCTTATTTAGGTAAAGCAGCATAGTTAATTTTAATTTTCTTGTACTTTTTAATTGAATTATAACATATAACCAGTAAATTCTTCCGTCTGTGTGCATTTTACATCCCCATCATTACTATCCAGGTAGAGTCAGAGAACACCTTGGCACCCCCAAAGTCTCCTGCCTGCCCCTATTTCTCCCCAGAGATGCTACTATTCCAACCTCCATCACTATAGATCAGTGTTGCCTTGTTTGTATTTTATGTCAGTGCACCAATACTAGAGGTACTCTTGCTTGTTTGTTTGGCTTATTTCATTTTATATTATATCTGAAAACTTACCCTATACTTGTTCAGTACTTTCATTACAACACAGCATTATATTATATAAATGTACTATATTTTATTCATTCAATTGTTGATTTCATATGCCTTGTTTCTAGTTGGGTCATCTATATCTACTAGCATTCCTATGAACGTTTTAACCTTTAATTTTTTTGGTACAGCATATATATTCAATATTACTGTACATATATCTAGAAATGGAATTGCAAATAAAGCATATGCTTGGCCATAGTACATATTATTATGCTTTTCCAAAGTCTTTATATAAAATTATAGTCCTGGCCAGCGGTGTATGAGATGCCAGCATTTGCTTTTGCATTCCGATCACGCAGGCTTGTCAGGGGTTTTAAAGATGAACAGTAGCTATGTTCAGAAAGACATCTTCTAAGCCATATCATAGACCTTTCTGTGCACAAAAGCCCAGGACAGCAGCTCTGGCTTGGAGTGTAATGGTGACTTCTCACTGGCTCCCTCCCACTGCTGTGACTTTTAGATAGCTAGGCAAGCCCGGAGGAGAGAGAAAACAATTGCAGAAAGCTTCATCTGTGGCATGAGGGTGAAACCCATTATTATGAAAAACATTAACCTTCCCTCTTCTGGGCAGAAATAGCTCCCTCTGTCAGGAGGTGACTTGTTTAAAGAACCTCATGGTTTCAAAGAACTTTCCAAAGAGCCCAAACCCCCTACATCTGCACCTTAGAGCCACTTTCATATTATTTCCCCTGCTGATTTGTCAGCTAGTCCTAGAGGAAGTATCCTAAACCAAAGTCCAGTCTCCTCCTTTCTTTGTTTACCATACACAAGAGGAGACAATTGCAGGCCAGGTGGGATCTCACCTCTCTGCCCCCAACTCTAATCCATACTTTTCAAGAAACTCCATGTTCACCTATGGACAGAGAATAAGTCCTCAGAGAAAGTTTCTTTGGGGAGATGAGATGTTCAATTTTCAGCAAAGAAATTCAGATTGGAACTGCATGTTTTACTCAGCTTGGAATTGATGCTGGTAAGCAGATTTGAAAATTCAACATGGATGATTAATCTCTAATGACCCTCTGTGCATGTCAATAGTGTCACTTGCTTAATCTTCCATATCTTCTTCATCCCAGATTTGTGGGAAGGCTGTGCTTTCTGGCCCCTCAGAGGAGTGAAGCCACAGGACTAGCTCTGGACAATGAGTTGTGAGTAGGATTGACATGGGCCATATCTGGACAGGAGCTGGGTTTGTTGTTGTTGTTTTTGGTTGGTTAGTTTTTAACCCGATTGAATCCAGGGCATTGTACAATCTAAGAACATGCTCTGCAACTGTTGCCGCACCCCCAAAGGCTTTAATTTATGCTTCCAAATCCTTAAGAACTTACTCAGACTAGGGGTGGGGATTTAGCTCAGTGATTCTGCTGCCTACCTTGAAAGTGCAAGGTCCCGAGTTTGATGCCTGGTACAAAAAAAAAAAAAAAAGAAGAAGAACTTACTCAGACTCTCTGTATAACAACAGAAGCTAACATAAGGGGACCTTCTCTGGCCATCTGGAGTGGAGTCTTTACTGTAGTCTGTCACTGGGATTCTTGTATTATATGTTACAGTATCATAGCTGAGCCAATCCTAGTTGAGATAGTCTGTCTCACTTAGCTCACCCCCTCCTCATTCAGATATCAGCTGGCTTGCTTCATTTCAATCGCTAAGGAGCTAGAGCCCCAAGACAGGGTTTCTTTCAACAAGAAGTTTTAATGAGGAATGAAATCTAGTCATTGAATGTTGTACCAAGTTTGCCATCAATTACTGCGTATTTAAACAGTAAGCAGCAAGCATCTGTTAAACCTGCAATCACAACAGTAAGTGGTAAGAAAATGGTGGGAGAAACTAAGAGGAGATGAAAGGAACCTGCTCCATCTCAGGAAGCAAGCAGTGAAATGCTGACATGGGGACTTCATGCAGAATTGACAGGCAGAAGTGGCCAGCATTTAGAAAGCACAAGATCAATTATTCAAAATGGTCTTATACAGACTTCTCACTCACGCACAAGCAAACTGCCGTTTAGGGGGAAAAAGGAGAATAGAAGGGCAGAGAAAAAATGAGCATCCTGAAATAATCCTTCATACACTCCTGAGTCTAGATGCTCACCTACTCGTAAGCATCTAAGAGAAGGGGAGAAACAGTCCATCCAGTAGGCTTGTTTTATTTCACATCACCCCTGAGAGCCAAATAAGTCATATGTAAGTGACTCATGTTGAGGACCAAATCTATTTCTATCATGCTCATTGTTGTGATCTTAATGCAATATGGTGCTTGGCATAGAGGAGGACTTGCAAAGGGTTGTAAAATGAATGGACAGGTGGGAGAAAAACAAACAAATGAACAAAGACTGACATTGAAATATCACTCAATGCAAGTGGAGGTCGTGTTTTTCTTTATTGTTCCAAAACTTTGCAGAAAGATCTCCCATGGTAACTGGCACTGAAAAGTGAAACTTACTTTTTCCTTTAGAGACAAGTGGCTTCCCGAGGCCTAAGAAATGAACAGTTTCCCCTACCCCTCAGCCTAAATAAAGTGACAGAACATGCAGATGCCAGCCCCAGGATTTTTTTTTTTCGACAAGAAAGAAGAAGAGCTGAAAATGAGTGGAAGTGATAAAAGAAGTGTAGAGATCTACATTGTCTCTATGCCCTCCCCTCTCCTCTGTTTCCTACTAGAAAAGACCCTTGCCCACCTGTAAACAGGGAGATGGTGATTTGGGACAATTGACCCCTCCATCTCCTCTGAGCTAGCTTTGAATACATCCTTTGTCCTTTTTACTCAAATATATGGCCTCCTTTGATTTGGTCAGTGGCAAACAGACAAACCTGAGTATATAAGCTTAAGTGGCCGGTAACATCATGACCATTCTTTCTACTGATCTAGGGACAGCGCCACTCCTCAGAAAGGCTGAGCTTAGGAGATGCTTATATCCCTCAGTGCACAGGGAAATTTAACCTTATGTCATCCATTTGCCAAAGATGGCGAAACACCAACTCAGGGGACCAAATGATGCTCTTGGGAGCCTGCCAGTCACAAAGGTCCAGCCCTTGCCTTTGGCCCCCCTTGAACACTCCCAGTATCAGGGGAATGAGGACCAGAAGTCCAGGTAAGGGGCTCCTGGAATTCTAGTCCTCACTCTGCCCTGTACCTCTCCTTTCTAAAACTCTCTTTGCTCGTCTGTAAAATATGGAGATTAGATTAGGTCAGGAATTGTATACTAAGAACCACTAGGAGGTTTTTTATTTTATTTATTATTTATTTATTTAGGTCAATCATGCAGATTCCCCAATAGCACTCCCAGAGTTTATGATTTCTGAGCTCCAGAGTGGAATCTGGGAACTTATTTTTCATCAGATTCTCAGGCGATCAAACAATGCTGATTTTTTAAACCACACTTTGAGCAACACACAAAGAGAAGCTCTTTAAATTCCTTTCAAAGTCTATCTTTCAATGGCTCCAGAAAAATAATGTTTAGATAGCTGATTATCTCCAAGAAGGTATCTTTAGGTGTTATATATAAAGAAGTTAATCCCTGCTGGGCAAAGATTACTTTAGAAAAGCTGAACACCCTAACCCATATAAATAGCACTCCCCACCTCCTCTGTCAGCTCCGCACCATGTCCCTCTGTCAGAATTTCACCAGGAGCATCTTCCAGTGAGGTAGGGTTCTTTTCATCCTTTTAGATCCTTTTCACATGTCCTTACCATCAACTTAAAAAGGCTGGCATGGGGATTTCATTAAGTAAGCCAACTCCTTAAATTGTTTTGAGATATAGCCCCAAATTCCTTTGGTGAATTTGTTAAACTCAAAAGCAATATTCTTTGGCTCTTGTCAAGCTCTGCAGGCAAATACTTAGGGGCTTCAAGGAGAGAGAGACCATCTGCACAGCTAAGTGGAGCCCCCACTTTGCCTTGGAATACCCAGGATGTTTGGCAGATTTGGCACGTGATAAATCCTAGTCAAAAATTGGATAAATCCTAAAGGATGACAGAAGAGTTCATTTTCAGGAAGATAGGGGAAGAATGGTGACAGAAGGCACACATTTTTTCTTCTTTATCTCAGTTCTGCATGGGACTCAGACTAACTTCAACTTATAAAATCTTTTCCTTCTAATTTTTCCCTGGGAGCTAATTCCATAGCTGCCTTGCTTCCCAGGCAATTTCAAATCATTTGTGTTCCTAGGAGTCTTGCTCAGGAAAATCTGGGGTTAACCATGTGGCATCTCTTGATTTCAACCCCAAAATTCCAATTCCCTGCCTGAGGCTCCTGATGGGAACTTTGGGCATGGAGCCCACCTCAGTGCCCTGAACAGAAGTGCTGAGCACACAAGATATGCAGTGTGAGGTTGTGCCCCCATGACATCCGAACTGGACCCTTTTGGAAAATGTCATGAAATTCATGACCAACTGTCATCAGACACAAGGAAAGAAGAGGCTGAAAACCTAGTATCTGGGCATTCTGTCTTGATAGGGTACTTTTCTTGGTGACTTGTTGATGACTATCCATATCATCTTCTTTTCTTAGTTTTGTTTCCCTCAATTTAAATATTGATATTTTGCAGCTGCTTCTATTGTAACAATGACTGTAGTTCAATTACGTTCTTGTGTATGTCAGGTATAGTACAGTCTAATTTAATCTTCATTACACATGGCCATATTGCAATTATACATGCTATCCAAGTGTTAACACATATTTAAAGCTGCTATTCCTTTGTCACTGATTTACAAAGAGGTACCTGAAAAGAAGCAGATGTCATAATTACACGCTTATTCAGCTCATTTTCAACTAAGTCTCAAAGTAAATTACAGATGAGCAGGCATGTCTTGAAATTAATGTAGTGATAGGACATGAATGCCGCGATTCATTATGGTTTGTCAATGTGCCGTACTTCTGGAATGTGCGATAAAATTATATTAATACTCCACTAATGAGATTAATGAATATGAACACACAGGAGAAGAATAGGGTCCTTTGTTTGACTATTGAAAAAATAACATATACGTAATTAAAAAGAATTAATCAAACCATGTACAGCCTCATTTATATTAAATTAATTTGTCTGGTTTCATTTCTAATAATTAATCACTTTTTGCAAATTACAAAGCACTTCAGGCGGATGGAAGCACTACTGTAGGAGTTGTGATTCAGAATATTTAGACCGATCAAGGTGGTCCCTGTGGGTTCGTATTAATTAAGGTTTAACAGTTTGGAAAATTGTAGCAATATTTTATGATTCATGTAATTAAACTCTAACAAAATGTCACAACTGCTAGTTACTTCTGCGCCTGTGATTTATATCTTCCTCCTTTTGGAAAGGAAGCGGCAGAAATGAAGTCCTCTTAAATGTGCGGACACAGTGGATGAGAAAGCCTGGTGGGTTCAGGGCAAGCTGAAGGCTTTATGGGGGGCACAGTACACCCTTCCACTCTCAGATTCCACCATGGTGTTATGCAAATGAGGCAGAGTCACATGATCTGACATATGGTGAGGTTTCCGGAGTCTCTTCTGGCATGTTTGCTAGGATCCAAACAAAAAAGCAAGAGTTGTGAGCATTCTTCCCAAACCGAGGGGGGTGCATTACAGCTCCTATTGATGGAGACTCCTGGTTTCCCAGCACTCAGCTTGCCAGATCTGTTGGGCATCAAACCGTCTAACCAGGCACCTAGGATGGCCAGGGTATTTCCTGGACATCATTCCCCCAGAGCCTGGAGTCCTCTCAGAGGTACTGATGTGGCTGTCCTGGGAAGCATCTCCAGAGAAACTCAGATGGGGAAAGCTAGCTGTATGCCTCCTGGCTGGGTTGGCTGTCTTGCCTGGGTGCAGGAGGGATTGAAGAAAGATCTGATCTGGGGGTTCTACCAAGGCAGTCTTACTCCTCACACTGCATCAGAGGCACCTAGAATATTTCTGCTAATGCTGAAGTGCTAGCCTTTTCTCTTTGTCCCCTTTAAGCCATTCCATCCCCTTCTCCTCCTCATCTGGGACTTCTCAGAGGCTGCTCCTGTGAGTTTGGGTCTCTCAGTCATCTTGCCAGTGGATTTTGGCTGGATTCATCCAGAGGAGCAGAAGTTGAAAGGCAGGAAAAGAAAGAGCTTGGTGGTTCCTGCCTCAGTGCCATGCCTCTGCTAGAGCCTGAGTCCCTCACTTGTGACCATGGTTCCTTTGAGCTGCCTGTCCACTATAGGCTCCAGTGACACTATTTGTACCTCTGCCCCACAGTGCTGATGGGTCCTTGTTGCCTCTACCTTTTGCATGCAGCACCACCTTTCTGTGTCAATCTTTTGCCCAATTCTCTCCTCTCTAAACAAACACTTTATTCAAGTGTCTTCATTTGGAATTTCTAATAGTGAATTCATGCTTGGGCCCCACTCCCAGAGATTCTTATTCAGCTGACCTGAATTGGGGCCCCAAGATCTGTATTCTGTTCCATTGTTCCTGTCCTTCCTGGTCACTCCATTGTGTAGGGTAAAGAACCTCAACATTACAGCAAGTCTGGAAAGACTTGGTAATGCTAACATTATGGGCCAGGTTCTAGTACTTTTAAATATATTGATGTAGTTCATCCTCATAATAACCCTCAGAAACAGTGTCATCATTACTCCCACATATGGTTAATGTAGGAGAAGCAGAGGGAGGGCAAGCTAGTAAGCTAGTAAGTAGAGAGGCTAAGCTTTGGTTCAGAGTCTGGGCTCTTACCACACTGTGCTGTAATGACTCTTGGAAATGTATTCTAAGAAATAATTTGTAAGCAAGGAAAGCTTGGTTGTTTATTCACACTTCCATTCAATTATGTATTCATTCATTGATTAACCCCAAAATACTTTAATAAGCAGCTATGATGTTCTAGGTATTGATGGGGCTATGCTCTACAGATAAATAAATAGATAAATAGATAAAACAGCAATATCTCATGAGTTGGGTGTATGTGTCGAGGGACCTCTGGAAAATGAAAAACATGTTCTAACCAGGAGCAGGAATAAGCCCTCAGTGGAAAGGGGACATTTGAGATGGGCCACACAAGAAATAATGTCATCATCTTTAGAAACTATGGCACATGACAAGATCCACCCACAGACTATTTCTTGAGGACCAGATGGTTCAAATGGCACAGGTGAGCTTGAAGGAGGGATATGATGATTTAGTGAAGGGTCATTTATTCCAATAGGTTAGCTGGAATTTTATCTTTTAAACACAGAAGAACCCAGATACATTTTTAAATGAGGGAATGATGTGGTCCTATTGAGGTTTGTGGAGGGGATTTCACCAGTGCTGCAGAAAGGGGGCTGGAATAAGCTACTGGAGGCCAGAATCAGCGCCTCCTTCAGGTGAGAGATGACGGACTTGGGGTGAAGGTTCCTGCATGTCCAGGAAGAGGGTGGCTGCTTTTGAAGAATTTTACATCCATGGATTTTTCTCTTCTCTGGCCCACTGCATGAAATCTGGCTATTAAACCTACCATGTGTGGTCTGGTAATGATACTGAGTCTAGGCGCACGGTTCTGCCAGGCTATTTGGGAAGCTCTGGTCCCTCTCAGTCTACACTCAAATTGGATTAACTTGGAAATGAGAAAGACCATGTTTTTTTAATGCCTGTGAGCAGATGCTAGGAATTTTGGGACTCCCATGGGAAAGGAAAACACACCCCCAATCAGCAGCTACGGTGTTATATGTCTGTAAATAACACTAATTGGGAACATTTTATTTTGTTTTGTTAATAAAGTGTATGACCCCATTGTTTTGCTCAAATATGAAATCTATCTTGGGCCTCCTTTTCAGATAACAACCCTGTTCAGAGTCTGCCAATGCAGAGGTGCTACTAATAGTATGGGAAGCAAACCCTACTCACAGACAAATGATGATAAAGTGAAATCTTTAAGAAATCATCAAAAAAATGAGGCAGAGCCATGTGAGCTGTCTCTCCAAAGTGACAGGGCTAAAGAAGCTGTGAAGCCACTGGCCCTAGGCGCCAAAGCACATTTATGATTTAATTCCCATTTTGACATCAATCAACACATATTAATAACTTCAGCCAGAGAAAGTAAGGTCCTAAGTGTGTTTTTATGCTGACATGTCTTGCATCTAGGAAGCAGATTTTTGATTGCCAATTAAACCCCAAACAAGCTCAACCTCTCCCACTCACCCCATCCCATAACTTTGCATAATATCTTGAAGAGTACTGTGGGGCCCACTGTCATAACTGACATTTGTTGTATTCCCTAAGAAACTGACACTGATTTTATTAACCTAAATCTGGTCTATTGAAGTATAAAATATGTGAGTTGGAAGTAGGTAGCTTATAGACCATGGAATCCCACCCTTTACCTGAGGTAGGTTTTCCTCCTTTCCCACCCACAACTGTGTCCATTATAACCAATGACTTTAGTGTTGAGAATCCCCTACATCCCAAAGAAGCTATGTGGTTTGCCAAGGAATCTGTGGATTTTAATTTAGAATCCTACTTCTACTCCTGATGAACCAATGTGCAGGTGGATTAATATGTAACTATATATCTGGTGGTACTCATGAGAGGGCAATATTGCCCCACCAAGAGACATTTGACAAAGACTGGAGATGTTTTTGACTGTCACAGTGGGGTTGGTGCAACATTGGTATTGGTAACTATTGGGTAAAGGCCAGAGCTGAGGCTAAGCATGCTGCTATGTACAGAATGGCTCTCTGCAACAAAAAAAAATCCCTCCATGTCAGTCTTGATGAAATTGAAAAACTATGATCTCTATATACAGAAAAATATACAAACCCAAACATGTTCAAGCACCTCAGTGTTAGGAAAAATTCTCATTCCCTAATTGATGGAAAAGTTATGGTTCTCTTGAACTAAAATATGTTTTCCATTTCCTCTTAGATTTGCCCCTTGGGAAGATATAAGTTTAGCTTAATTTTTCTGCTAATAACAACAGTTTAAATATATGAAGCAAATATATGAAGATATCTTCCAAAGTTATAATCACTACAAACCAAGCCTCTCCAGTTCCTTTCTATGTACCCCTGTAGAGAGTTTTCAAGAAATTCATTATGATTTTGGTGGAAAAAATCACAAAATAACAATAACTGCTTCAAGAAGATTAAGGAAACATGGCGTTTGGAAATGTAACTAAATGGTAAAATATTTTCCTAGCATGGGTGAGGCCATGGATTCAATCTCCAACACACACACACACACACACACACGCAGAGAGAGAGAGAGAGAGAGAAGAGGAAAACACTTTTGGAGAAATATTGTTGTAGTTCAGAAACCAAGGAAATAGCAGAACTATCTGGCTTTTGTGAGAGAAAGTAAGATTAAACTCTAATTTAAATAAGGGTCTAAGTTTGTTTTTAATGATCATCAAAACCTTAAGACCTAACACAATTGGTGAAAATTTGTAGGCACTCAATAATTATGTTTTGGAAGTAGGAGAAAGGGAGATAGAGAGGGAGGGAGGGAGAGAGGGGCAAATAAAAAGGGAATTCTCATAAAAAGGGATTTAAGAACAGTAGCTAACCCCCAGGAGTGCTCTTTGTCCCTTTTAGGAGCCATTGCTCTACAGCAAACAAGGAAACTGTTAGCAAAATTAAGCACCCAGCACAAGTGTGAAGCACTGACTCCTACCCTTTCAAGACCTCCTGGCTTTGATTCTTTGACTTAACGTTTGTGATGCTAAATTCTTGCTGCCTCTTTAAGCTTACAACATGTTTCGGGGCCTTGCAAAATGCAAGTCTGTTATTAGAGATTCTGTTGAATTATTCAGGGCTAAATCAAGATGCGAAGACACCTTTTTTGAGACAGAAAATTGGCAAACACTCTCTAAGATGCCTTACAGACAAAATTAAAAAAAACTACAAATTCTGCTACAGCTGTTGCATTTCCCATAAAATTGATTATGATAAAAAACTGTTACCTGCATAAAAATGACATGTGGTCCTCAAGTTCTTTTGTCTCCAGTGTCAGTATCAGCTTTTGTCAGCCACAGTCCCATAAGCGAGGTACCTAATCTAAGACCCAAGGGGTTAATTTTCTCCTTTGTAGCTTCTGAAACACAAACGGGATAATGCACCATCAATATTAGAAATCAACATTAAGTGCAAAGATTACCCTCCCTTTGCCTTTCATTATAGGGCCAAGAATATTGAAAACCACAGTGACTCAAGGGATCATGTCAAAATACACTTGATACACATCAAAAAGAATTGCATCAGCAAGGCTGAAAGAATCAATTGTCTTTCCCTCCAAAATGCTGACCAAAAAGCAAAGTGCAGAGAAATTTCCTAGAAAGCCTGGGAATGCAGTATAGGTGCTACACCATGCAACAATTCCTTGCAGCAAATAAAAAGCTTCCTGGCAATGCTCAGTAGCCACGGTGCATTCTGTATGTCCTTAAAGTATGAAAGAAGGTAGAAGAGATCAAGGGGACAGAAGACAGCTGAGATCCCTAGGGGTTACTAACCACAAAGGTATGGGTTCTGGGGAAAAGAGCAGATAAATCTTAAGCATTGGAGCCATGGTTCTGATTTCTAAATGCCGATATAATTCAGTGTCCAAAAGGGAGCCACAGCGAGAGGGTTTCCAGAATGTCATCAGTGTGGCTTAGAATCTATCTAAAGGAGACATGGTGACACTCTCCTTCTTTCCTAAAGAATTCTCCTTTTACCTAAACTCTTTGGGGATCTTTTAATCAATTTTTCTCATTTGCTAGCCTCTATATCCAGTTACATTTGCTATGGCCTAAATGACTGTGTGGCCTCCAAATTCCTGTGTTGTCATCCTAATCCTCAGTGTGATGGTATAAGAGGGAGGGGCCTTTATGAGGTCATTACTACTCTGTTTCCATGCTTGGGATCAGTGCCCTGGTAGAAGAGACTCCAGAGAACTCTCCTGCCTTCTGCCATCTGAAGACACACCAGAAAAAAAGATGTCTATAAACCAGCAAGTAGGTCCTCACTGACAACAAACCTACTGGTACCTTGATCTTGGACTTCCAGCCCCCAGAACTGTGAGAAATAAGTTTATGTTGGTTATAAACCACTCAATTTATGAGATTTTATAATGCCCAAATGAACCAAGATAGCTCTCCGCTCTTGTGATAGGTAAGTTGTGTGCTCAAGTTCTAAAAACAGTATCATGTCAACAGCTCTTCAGCCAGGCAATGTCTATAGGCAATCAGACTGCTTGTAGATTTTCCCTCACTCATCCCTAAAGGAGGCTCCAGCCAAAGGTTTTAATGATGATTGAGGTCTTTATTTGGAAATGTTAAACCTCCCATTGTGGTCCCTTGATAACCTTTATTTCCTGAAGTGTGCATAAATGTGCATACACACACACACACACACAAAGTCACTTGTCTGACTTTCAGAAGACACAGTGAAGGCAGTAACCCTGTCAACAATTTACACTAACAATTTATGATTCAATGGTCTGGGTTTCTCTGCTTATAAGAAGAATGAAACTTTTTGCAAAAAGAAGTTTCTAGAAGTAAGTCAAGACCTGTTTTCACTTTAACTTACCATCTAAATTTATAGTATTTACTTTTTTACTAAATTTACTTTTCCCAGACTTACTAAACAATTCAGTTACCATAATTAATTCTTTGAACAGTGCTAAGACTACCAGGTAAGTGCTACATTTTTGTCCTGTGGTCTCAGAGAGCATTGCCACTGATTGAGATACACAGGGTCAGACCATACCTTGACAATCCTATAGTAGTTGCACTGACTTCAATTTTTAGACTTTGTCCTGATTTGGAGATTCATGAAGGATAAGACCATGCCTGATTTGTTCATTATTCTGTTCCCTTACCTTTCACTATGTATGTCATAACTCCAAAGAAAGAATAATGAAGGGCATGGAGGAAGGGGAAGAGAATTAAAGATAAAACAAAAATTAACACAAAACATGGAACACATGATTGAATCAGGGGTGATCAAACTACAGACCAAATCCCGCTGTCTCAGTTATTTTTTTCATTGCTGAGACAAAATATCAGACACTCAAAGTAAATGGAGGAGAGGTTTATTTATCTCACAGTTTGTAGAGGTTTCAGTCCATAATCAGCTGGCTCCAAGGTAGGGTGGCATGGCAGAGGGGCATCACTGAGGAGAAACAGTTTATGACAGGTAGAAGCAAGTAGCAAGCAAGTGACAAACCATACTAGCTCTTTTTCTGAACCTTATATTTTTATCTAGGCTACCTATCCTTAGGGCAGGCTCACACCCAGAGTGGGGCACCCTTAATCCTACCCAAACTATGCCAAGCCAATCAGTGGACTAATTTAGTGTTCATACATCCTTAATCTCAGCATCACACACTCTAGATCCAGCCACCTGTGAAAAAGCCCCACCTAAGACCATGAGAGGTTTTGCAGAGACATCTAGACAAAAACCATAATACCTGCTTACCAACTGGTATTTAAATAAAGCTTTATTGCAACACAGCCAAGCCCATTGTATCACAGGTCTATGGCCACTTTCGCACTATGGCCAGATTTGTGACAGGGACTAGGTGGCCCACAGAGACTACAACATTTCCTATCTGGGTCTTTACAGAAAATGCTTGCAATCCCTTGGGCTCAGTGATGGGTGATTCCTTGAGTTTCATAGCAGAGAAGTCTCACACAAATGTTATTTAAAAATAAATAAGGGCTGAAGATGTAGCTCATTGGTAGAGGATTTGACCAGCATGTGCAAGGCCCAGAGTTTGATCACCAGGGCTGAAAACATAGATAAAATAAAAAATAAACAAAATAGTTACATGGGTGAGGATGGCCACACCAGCATAACCCCTGTCCCTACCCACTCCTTCTGTCACTCCTTTGTTGTGGAAGGAGTGGCACTTCCTCACCTAGCAGAAAAGTCTGGGATCCACATGGCAGGCATTCTGGGATTTCTGAAGTAAACTGTTGATCCATTGTACCTAAGGAGCTTCCTACCTGTCCAGAGCCCTTCTGGCCATTTGACTTAAAAATAAGACAGTTGAGCTGGGTGTGTTGGCACATGCTTATAATCCCAGCACTCTGGGAGGCTGAGGAAGGAGGGTTGCAATTTCTAGCCCAGTCTGGGGAACTTAGCAACTTAGTGAGAACCTATCTCAAAATTAAAAAGCCAGGCTGGGATACACTTCAGTATGAAGGTTCTGAGATCAATCCCCATACTACTACTACTAGTAGTAGTAGTAGTAATAATAATAATAATAATAATAAAAATAGAAAAAAAAGATGGCAGAATATCTTCATACTTATTACAGTGCTCAGTTAACACTGAACGACTCAGACAGAGTTAGGACAGGGATATCTGAAAATCAAGGAGCTGCCTTTGCCTAGCTACCTTCCCTGTTTTGCTGTTGAAGGTGACATGGGAGTGTAGCCAGAGCTGGCCCTGCCCCGCTGTGCCTTCTGGTCTCTCAAAGGCACAGCCTTCTCTAGGTACACAGAGGTCTTAGCCCTTATAGATCCCCAGGGAATGTCGTGCTGGGGGTGTCACTAAAGCCCAGGCTTCCCTCTTCCCAACAAGCTGGGGATCGGTGCCCCGGGGGACTCCAGTGCTGCCCAGCCATGCACAGCTCTCTAATGACCTCTCTCTCCTCCGTCACTGAGGGTTATAGGGGGACCCCCCCAACTCCACCTCTTGCTGGGAACAACACTCACATATATTCAGTTCTGGGCTCAGTCCCTACCCTTCCTTTGCATGTCTGCAAAATAAAAGGCCAGATATGTATTTTTCCCTCCTGGTTCCTTTAAATTCAGATAATTTTTAATTTAGAAACAGATGGTAACAAGCAACATGGGCAGGGCCTCCAGGAAACTGCAAGTCTGCTTTTCCTGTCCTATTCCACATCGCTGAACCCCCAACTCCCCTCCCCGAAGGGCAAAGGCCAGGCGGAACAAAATGGCAAACCAGCTTTTTACAAATAAACCTGTGAGCAAACTGCAGCCATAAAACTTTGAAAACCACTCTGATTGAGACATTTGGACTAATTACCAGAGAGCAGCAGCTACGGGCCCTTTCCTAATGCTGTTTATTACATTCCCTCGTTACAGAGGCTCCCTGGGGTTGGTTTCTGAAATAAAGATTTAATTTGAGGGTAAATCAGAACAACAAAAAATGTAGCTCATTGTAAACAATAGTATCCCCAGTCCAGCTGAGTCCATCAATATAAAAACAGAAGTCCTCCTCATCCTCAGCATACTGTAAACACGTTAAATGCTATTTATTGTGACTACATGTGTGTGGCCCGGCATTGAGTGAAATTGGGAGCATTTTCGTGACTGAAAGACATAAACATCAAATACACCCTCCATCATTCTTCCACTTTTAAAGTTATAAAATCTAAATATTAATTTTAATAGAAAGGTTAGGAAATTGGACACTACAGTCCCCACTGAAGTCATCAGAGGAGCATGCAGCTCGTGGGGGGACCACAGCATTCCAAGGAGATTAAGGAGGCAGGTGGGGTCCAGACATGGTCCATGAAATATGACATGTGTCATAAACAAAGGCTGCAGCCCCATGGCTCCCTACCAACCCCAACCCCTGCCCAGCCAACGTTTTGTAAGTCAAGGCTTGATATACAAAGATATGAGCAAGGGAGGAAAATATAGCCACACTGCCACCTATAAGAGAGTCCATTTGACTATCTTTAATCTGGAAACTGGAAAAGGGGTATTTTTCTAGACATTAGTTGGACAACTAATGTCCATTATCCCCCAAGTCTAAAGCTGGTTAGGGTAGCCTATGGGAGATATGCTTCTATGCAGATAGTCCCAATTCTAGATGAAATCAGAAAGCACACAGTACAAGTTCCTCACCTCACCTTTAGGGATGGGTTCCTGTAAGCCACTCTGTTTAGAATTAAAGATATCTTACCCAACATGTCCTCTCACCTTCAGCTGCAAAGGGCATGAGATTTGGCAGAAATCGCTCATGTGAAGCCATTGTCACTGTGGAGCAAGTTGGAAGATGTAGATTCTAATCTTCACCATGTGGTGAACTGTAGCCTTGAACTTCAGCAAATTGTTTTACAATGTATTATAGTTTGCTCAATGGGCTTCTCTACTTTCTTAGATTACACATCCCAGAATTGAAGTGGGCATAGAACACTGAGCATGTCTCAGAGCCCAGGGAACAATTTGCCCTTTATTCCAGGACATTTGGCAGTGTTTGAAGACAGTTTCGTTGTCACAGGATTGGGCATGCTTCTGACAACCCAAGGGGAAGGGGAGCAATTGTGGTGGATTAACTAATGGTCAGCTTGTAATGCCCAGCTGAACTGAATCAGTGTGATTGGGTGTGGAAGACCCAACTGAGGATTGTTGTCAATGGCATAAAAAGAGAACTGGAGGGGAAGATCATGGGCTGTTGATTTTCTAGGAGAAGCTCGCTGTGGATGGTTTTCCTGATGGGAACTTGATTGGTCTCATCTGAGCAGGAGCTTGGGGCTTCGCTATCTCTGGGAATGGCTGCTATTCTCATCAGAGGAGCTGTGTTCTTCTCTGTGAGCATTACTTCCTGGCTCCCATAGAGATACCCCAGCCTGGTGGCACAAGTTCTTCCCCCCACTGGTGCAGGTTTTCTGGTTTCTGCCACTGGCCTTTGGGCCTTCCCAGTGCAGATCCTCAATACGGATGGACAAGCATGAGATATTGTGATGGGCTCTAGCCCACTGGCTGAACTCATGGAGGACATTGCCTTGGACTTTCGGCCTTCAGCTGGACTTGTGTAGGACATTGCTGTGGGATCCAGACCCTCAGCTGGATTCTTGGGGTCTCTAGTGTATGGCTAGATCTCTTACATTCTTCTGCATTTGACTTTTGAGTGACTATTATAAAATAATCCTATAAATTATGTGTCCAATATTAAATCTATTTCCCTCGCAAAACCCTGACTACAACAGGGATGTTGCTAAATATCTATAATTCACAGAGCAGCCCCTTACAATAAAGGTTTTCAGCCCCAAACATCAATAGTACCCAGGTTGAGAAGCCCTATATTGAGTCACAAGAATCACACATAATCAGTCTTTCCTTTTTAAAACAATGTGTAGCATGCCACACGCAAGCAACCATGTTTGACATTATTATTCTAAATAAATACATATTGTAACGATCATTATGTCCCCTAAACAGGGACACAGTTCTCTAGTTCAAGAATTTGCTCCAATGTACAAATTGCAACAGACAGAATATTCAATGTTGCACCAACTTCTACCCTAGAAAAGTTACCTCAGCTAACCCTCATAGCTTAGAAGAATATACAAACTTTTAAAGGATTATTTGTATTTTTGCTCAATGAAAGTATACATCTTAGAACAACAGCCTATAAAACAGAACCAGGAATCTGGTGTTTAGATTTTATATCAAGAGGATAACCTATGGGCAAAGTAATCAGTAAGGAGGACTTGGGTAGTACCCCACTATCATCTCCTATGAATAGCAAAGACAAAAGTATGTAACAAAACATAAGATTTCCATGGAAAAATAAGAAAGCAGTCTGAGCATAGGTTACCATTTAAAATACAGTATCTAATCAAGTATATATGGGTTGAAGGGAAGAATACAGACATATTTTGGAAGCATTTTGTGGAAGGGAACATATGCCCTAAGGCAGGGCCCCCATCCTGATATAATGTATTTGGAATGTGACCCACTCGGTGATTTGATTGCTTTTATCCTATATCTCATTTTATTGCTCCCATCCATCTACATTCTGCAATGAACACTAACTGAACCTTTCTAGTGTGCTGAGACTTCAAATAAAAAGACAGCATGTGCAGTCCCCTTTTCTTTTCTTGCATTTTATTCTCTCTTGTTTGGGATAAACTAAATGAGAGTTCTCAGGGTTACAAGGAATGAGACAGATATAGGATATGATAATGTCTAATATTTGCAAGCTGCAAGAGGAAATGAGTCATTGAAATAACATAAGCAATGATAACTCAGCTGAATATGACTAAGATGTTAAAAATAAGGTGTGTTTACAAGTGAATAAACTTCCTGATGGCTCTGCTACTCTCCAGAGAGATGGGAAGGGAACAGGCAAAGGTCCATGGCATCCCATACATATCATTCTACTTTAAACTTGTCAAGTGTGGTCCTGGTGGATTGGTCATGTTGGCCTCTCATTGTCTTTGTACAAAATTGAACGGTGTGTCCAATACTATGGGATGCTTTTGAAACTCTACATGATGGTCCCATCATTGAGGTTCTTTGTCCTTGTTTTTATACAGATTCATAAAGATTAGAAGCTAGTATTTCTTGAGAAACAAAATCTAATTTTTATTAACTACTATTTAATTCTTCTTTCTCTGTTCTGTCCTAATTTCCCAATTGAATATGAGAATATTGACAGTTATCCCTTGCTTATGAGATCCTAATAATTGATTAATGCTAATTTGTAAAAATATTTTGAACTCCAGTGTTAATGTTTTATCATGACTAGACATTTCTCCTACCAATAAGACATCAATAACCTGTAAAAGGTTTTGGTTTTTGAACCCTATGGCTATAGATTATAGGGGTAAAGATATTTGGAAGGCATATTTTTGGTATGAGACTTCTGTCCATCTAGAATTTACATAACTTTTCTTATATTGTTTATAGTCCTTTGGTATGCATTCACTTACCTTGTTATGGAACTCTGTGTAACCTTGTAGCACAGAGGCTAGTAAAATAAATTTGAAAGATAGAAATTAAGCAAAGTGCTGGGTGTGTGTGATGGTACATGCTTGCAATTCCAATATATTGTAGGTTGAGAAAGGAGGATCATGTCCAGTGAGGCTAGTTTGGAAGATATCAAGACTCTATCTAAGGAGGGAGAGAGAGAGAGAGAGAGGTGAGTCTGGCAGTTCACTGTTGGGTGATCTTGAAGCCATACTACCAACACCATTTTCTATGAATATATTATAGTTCAATAAAAGTTAAAATTTGGGGGGAAGCCAATATCTATTCCTTGACTTCCTATCTACCCCAAAATTTTAAATAATTTTGAAAGTACTTAGTTCCCTGTATAAAATACCGTTTTGACTGAGATACCTGAAGTGCTTTCTGTCTCCTGCACAGATCCCTGATTGACCTCATAACTTTCTCCTCTATTTTTAAGACCATTCAAAAAGAATGGATTTCAGTTTGACTCAAGAAGTTGTCTGGCAATGAAATGGACCACAGTGATGATAGCTTGCTGTCACAGAAGATGATTTAAGAAGAGACTGGACAAACCATGTGTAGGAGGTATCGTGAAGAAGACTTGAGTACCAGGCAGTAGTTTTGGCTCTGTAACTTCTAATATCCTGCACGATTTTGAGATTCTCTGGTTTGGTTTGAACGTGGCCTCTGTGAGATTGTTGTAAGAGTCAAGCATTCAGCCCCTTAAAGCACTCCCAGGCCTCACTCGGTATCAAAGGACCAATCACACTTGTACTCAGGTTTCCATTTATCTTTTTAATGGGCCTGAATTCAAGCAAAACGCTAAGACAGAAATATACTAAAAGCAAGAGAAAAGGCATCTATTTTCAAATAGCAAAATCATAAAGAGCAGACATGAGTCCTTCCACCACCACAGAGTAGGCTTTCTGACAAATAAACAGAATACAGAAGAAACTCTTACAGCACAAAGACGCTGTGGCATGATTGAAGTACCCAAGAATAGGATAATTTCTCATCCCACCTTTACTGTGTTTCATTGGTCCAGGATTCCAGGCACTGCATCATTAGAAAACTGCTATTTCTGTACTTACATCAGTATTTCTAGTTTGAAATGACTAGAGCTGTGATTATCTCTCATCAGCTCTTGTGAATGACTCTCACTTTACTTTTACTCATAGATGAAAACTTATGGGATAATGTCTAAATATAAAAGGAAATTGAAAACTGGAAATGACATCCTGAACCAGGCATTAACCACACCAAAGAAGACAAGATCACCTGTACTAACAACAGTTTGTGTATCTCTTCCACCCAAAGCATCATAGTTCTAAGTGAAGGCAGGAAAAGATCCCAGATGGGCTAAGCGAGGAGACATAAATGTCTGCTAGGTAGTGAGCATATCATCAGCTCTAAACTCTGAACAGAACTGAACAAACACCCATGTTGGAAGAAAGCTGAACCAAGGAGAAAGCCCACTTTGTTGCCATACTTTGGATCTAGATAATTTTCTTCTCATTTAAAAACTAAAAGTCTTTTTTTGCATCACTATACATCAGGTACTGTGCTTAGTAGTATTCATGAATTATCTCATTGAGTACTAAGAATTAATCCATTATATGCATAAAGGTTCCTGTTTGACAAATGTTGAAACTTAAACTGAAAGGATATAATCAACTAGCCCCCAACCACAAAAAGAATCACTGGGAGGGCTAGGATTTGAGTACAGACTGACAAAGATGAGGATCTTTACTTTTAAGAACTTCGTTGTAGTCATGAAGAGAAAAATAAAACTTTGTTACTCTGAAGACCAAACGGAAACAGAATTTTGAAAATTATTTACCCTAAAAGCTCTATAAACTTTCAAAACTACTTTCAATTTAAAAGGTAACTGCAAGACATTGCTTCTTGGAAGCCAAAGTGTAAAATAAAGATTGGAGAGGGTTAGAATGAAAGGAAAATTTAAACCTAAATTCCACAAGTACTCACAAGAGGTAGTTCAGGCAGGACAGGGGAGTCATAAAGTCAGGCCAGTGAGCAGAAGATAAAGTTGAGAACATCTTGTAAGAATGCAAAAGAAAAATCATAGATTAAGGAGTAACCCATTTTCCAGTCCCCTTTCTGTTTCTCTTAGACAGAAGCTATCTTTCTCTCAATAAATTTTTCCTACTCTAACAAAAAAAAGAAAAGAAAAAAACATAGATTAAAAATGAAACCCTGTCTCAAAGTAAAAGAGGGCTGAGGTTGTAGCTCAGTGGTAGAGCACTTGCCTTACATGTGTGAAGCTTTGGGCTTGATCCTCAGCACCCCACTCTTCCCCCAAAGTTGCTATAGTTATAAAAGTTTCAAATTATTAAAAACACAGACTTCATAAAGGAAGACCTTAACATAGCTGGAGCTGAAGGAATATTTACAGGGACCAATCTTCATCACAGTCTAGCAAAAATCAATGATAAAGATCAATACTAGAATGCACCATGGCAATATTTTAAAATTCTAAGTACAAAAATAAAAAAAAAAAACAACACAGAAAACATGTGTGTCCAAGCTGAAAATTCATTGTTTCTTCAGAAGAATGAAAGCAGACTGCTCTTGAATTTCTTTGAAACTTTTCAAGTCCAAATAAAATGTTACAAAATCTATAGATATCAGAGATGATGACAAAAATCTGGTATTTTCCCATGCAATTAAGTTGTTATGCTTGCAGGAAGACAATAAAGTGATATCCTCCAACGGGGAAGAGTTTAGAAAACAAGCCCCTCAGATGCTTTTCTCTAAAGAAACAGCCTGGGCATATACCAGAGGTAGCCATAAAACATATCAAAATGAAGAGGGAAAAGATATCAAAAGAGAGAACACAGATGAAAAGGGCCAGCAGACTGGGCCACGGGTCACCAGCAGGCATGGCATACAAGTATGCCTTTCTGAAGGTGACTATCACCTTTGCGCATCAGCTAATTCTCTATTTTCATGGAAAGTGAACTCTGATAAAACTCTGGAATGAAACAGGGCAGAGAATTGGAAGAGGTACACCAGATTGTATTGAAGCAAAAATTCACCTGCTTCTGTCACAGGTCATTGCAGTCAGACATGATTAAAAGTACTTAGAAGGGTACTATACACTTAGAAAATGCTTAAACAAAGTTGAATGTTGAATGCATGAATGAAAAATGAAATATATGGATAGATGGGGTGAGAAGTTATATTTAGAGAAGCCATTGCTTTAGAAAAATTCCTGGTGGTCTCAATCAAATCTTAGTGAACCCCAGAATTTTAGTCCTAAACATGCAAAGTTACAGGTGAAAACTAGCCACAAATCAACAGAAAAACCTTGCAGTTTTTCCCTTTCATTATGTACCAAAGCCTTCTAATTATTGTTGCTATCTCCTGCGCTGTAAAATATTTTATCGGTTGTGCCACTTTGCAGCATTTTGTCTAAAGCGCTTAACTGTCATAAATGCACTCAACTGTGTGCCAATGTGGAATAATAAATAATTATTATGTAAGTGACTGATTTACTTTGAGGAAACATGAAAGGCCTCTAAACCTGGAGTTTCCTGCCCCACATAATGTTCATGAAAGAAATGAGTGTCAGTAATCACTGTCAACGGTCTCTTGTAACTAAGAATTGAATCATTTATCTGTCCAGCATGTGTAAATTATCATCATCGTCTATTCTGCAGGAAAGCCTAACGGCAATTTATGTTATAAAATAATAAGATATGAGAGTTTAATAGAAATCACTTCTTGTTGCTCTACTTCAGAACAGCAGGCTCTGGCATCAGCAAGAATCACCTGCCCTACAAATTCAGGCACACAGTCTAGCTGTTTATAGTTGACTTCCTTATTTATATATTTTCCTCTTACCTCCTCTAGCCAAACTAAGAGCAAAGAGCTTGCTTATTATATTTGTGAGATGACCTTTCCTTACTCACTTCAAGGATACTTGCCTTTATGACCAACAAAGATAATGCCAGGGAGTGAATGAGTTCTAAGCATGAATAATTGTAAATGTTCTGACATCCTCTGAAAATATTATCAGAGCTTTGAGTTGCTACATATCCATCATGTCTTTCCAGGAGAGTTTTTCCCCCTCTAAACTGGACTGATTTTAACTTTCAACACTAAGTAGTCCTTGCGATATACCAGTTTTCTTACTTTACTTAACCTTGAGGGTGTGTAGACTCCTTTGGATGCTTCAAAGAAAGGATTTTGGGAAAAAGAGATGTACGTATTTAAAAGTTCCTAAGTGTGTGATGTGAATTCTTTTCTTTTGGTTTGAAGTGAGCCTTCATAAGCCTGAACATTCTGAGGGCACACTGTTTATTCTATGAAGATGAGAAAAAATTAACATTTATCATTTAATAAAAAAGACTTTTCACTTTTTGTCAGTGCAGTCCAAGGAAGCCACTGTATATTGAAGCTTTAGAATAGTGATCTGAGGAGCTATGAGGCTGGGGTGCATCCTGCTCCTTGATGCTGCATGTTCAAATAAATAATATCCCCTGGCCTCAGGATACTCAAAGATATCTAAGATGCAGTCTTTATCTTTGAGAAGGTCAGCCTGGTAGGTAACATGGATAGACACTCAAGTAATTCTTTCTTCTGTTACAATGGCATTTTCAAGAAAATTTTCCACCCAGCTTAAATTACACACAAATACAGAAAATGTTTACAAAGATAATCTCTGTGGCATTGTTTATTGGTGATAAAATGGAGACAACCAAATATTCCCTTATAACATGTGTTATACACTTAGAATATCATGCTGTACTTAAAAGGCAGGAACCTATTTATATATACACCAGGTACAGGTCTCCCTCCCCAGTTACTATTCAATTTAAAATTTGGCTTTATCTCCCAACACTTCCTGTCTTTTGATCCTCATTTATTTTCTTCCTTAGCACTTAGTACCACCTAACATAATACATATTGTTATTATAATACACAATACATAAATGATTTTGTCATGTTTTGATTTTTCAATCAAAATTTATCGATCAAAATTATCAATTTGTCAGTCAAAACAAGTAGAATAAATCAAAGAGAGCAGTGATTGTGTCTGTTTAATGCTACATCCTTAGGATCTAAAAGAGAGGCTGGTATGTAGTCAGTGTAAATAAATACTGTTTGAATGAATGGATAATTGTAATGATGTAGAATAATCTTTATGATATAATCTTTCCAGATATACTTCAAATGACAAAACTAGTAAAGTGAGGAAGTGTGTATTAGTTATCTTAATTTATGTATAGTGTTGTAGGTGGATATACTTCATAGAGGGCCTCTAGAAGAAAATACAAGAGATGGAAAATATGTTCTCAGGGGAGAAGTACCAAGACATATAGGGTTAAGAGTAGGGGAAGACTTAGGTGCCACTGCCTATCCCTCAGGGAACTCTGTTTTTTAAAAAATTTATTATGTGGAACATTTTACCTTTTAATTTTAGAAAGCACAATTAAAGCTACCAGTTTGAGAAACTTCAAAAAAAGGAAGAACACAGCAGAAAGACCTTACAGGGAGCAAGATGAAGTCTTCCTTTGAGAGTCAAGTGATGGTGAGGACAGGGGACTTGTAGATGCAATCAGGTATAAAATAAGAAATAGAAACATACTCCAGCTAGAATGAACTTTGGGTGAGGCAGAGGTACAAAGAAATACAAAGAAATTTTGGGGGGATTCATTTCCATTATAGACTTAAGAAAACCTTCATAGAAAACTCCCAACAGGAGCAATGTGTTGACCTTTTCCCTTCTCCAAAAGTTGTTGCTCTGGAATAAAATATGGGGTAAATAAATAGGTAATGGGATTAAAAATAAATAAAGCAGAGTAAACAAAAGAACTGGGCATATTGCTCAGGGCTTTGGACAGAGGATTTGAAAAGTACTTTCATTGTTCCATGTTTGCCCAAATCCTGAAAAGAATTCCATGGTTCATTTTTCCTTTGCAATCTCTCTGAATCCCTTTAGAGGTGAGATGAAGTTATGTATTGAACAGATATAAAGAATGACACTGGGAATATTCATTTAGAGTAGAGTTTCAAATTCAAATGGTCACAGGGGGCAACTGGCATGGTGGGCAGGGATAGGAAAAGTACCTGGAAATATTGATCAGTTCCCCCAAAGTATATGCTTTCTTTCATTTTTCCCTTTGTCTATCTTTTACTTTCCAAATTTTGGAGACATTGTCATAGAGAAACATTTATTTACTTTAAAAAGGCTATGGATACATTTCCATAATGAAAAAACAATCATGACTCTGGTCTGTACTGTGATTTTTAGAAGGCAAATAGTAGCAGGTAACCTCTAGTAAACTCTAGATTGTGACTAGGCAGGATTTCTGACTCAGTTTTACAAACTCTTCTGAACTTTTAAGAGAAACTAAAACTCAAAGTAGCATTGAACAACTGCTATATTGAAGAAATATATTGACAACCAAATGAGATTTATTACTGGAGTGAGAGCCTGGTTCAGTCCTCAAAAATCAGTCATGTAATTCATCATGTTATATGATCATATCAATAGATGCAGGAAAAGCATTTGACAAAGTTCAGCACTCGTTCATGGTAAAAACTCTCAGAAAACTAGCAATAGAAGGGAACTTAATAAAAGGTATCTACAAAAAACCCTACAGCCTACAGGATATTGAATGTTTTCTCCATAAGTCCAAGAACTAATCAAGGACGTCAACCTTCATCACTCCTACCCAATTTTGTACTGGATGCACCAACAAATCCAGGAAGTTTAGAAAAAGAAAAAAAGACATTCAAGTTGAAAAGAAAAATAAAACTATCCCTATTCGTAGACAATGCAATTCTCTACCCAGAAAATCACTAGGAATCTGTGAGAAAGCTACTAGAACTAAAAAAAAAGTGAGTTTAGCAAGGTTGCAGAATAAAAGATCAATATACAGAAATAAATTGTATTCCTATTACTAGTAGTGAACAAACAATTCTAAATGAAATATTTTAACAAACAGTATCATTCACGACAGATTCCCAAAATGAAGTTATGGATAAAACAGAATCTTTATGCTAAAAACTGCATAATGCTAAATGAGATCAAGAAGATCTAAATCAACACATATACTGTGTGCATGGAGTGTATCTTACACAATTAAGATGTAGTTAAGACTTTAATTCTCCATGAATTGATTCATAGATTTTTAAAGGAATCTCAATAAAAACTCCAGCATAATTTCTTGTATAGACACCCAAGCTGATCCTAGAATATATATGAAAATATTAAAAAACTGAAGTGATTGTTTATCTGGAATGCTTGAGGCTAAAAGTACTTCAGATTTGACATGTTTACAGATTTTAAAATATTTGCACATATAAGATTTCTTGAGGATGACACTCAAATTTGAACACAAAAACTGATCTACATTGTTGGTAGGAATGTAAACTAGTGCAATCACTATGTAAATCAGTATGGAGATTCCTCAAAAAAATTAAAACTAGAAATTCCACTTGACCTAGCTATACTTCTTCTAGTTATCTTCCTGTAAAAAGTTAAAGATATAATATTACAGTTATATTTGCATACTCATGCTTATAGCAGTACAACTTATAAGAGCTAAATATTGGAAGCAGTTTATGGGCCCATCAACAGATGAATTAATAAAGAAAATATATCTTAGCCATAAAGAAGGATAAATTTGAGTCATTTGTAGGAACATGGATGCATCCTAAGACCATACTGTTAAGTGAAATAAATCAGACACAAAGGTTAAATATCATATAGCTTCTCTTATATAAGAAATCCAAAATATAAATACTATAATTTAAAGAGCAAAATAAAAGATAGATGATAGGAAATAGGAAGGTAGACTTTGTAGATATGGGAAGGGCACCTGAGGATGAGTGGGAGATAGGGTGAGGAAGAGAAGGCGAAGTAATGATGATTAAAATGCAATATATCTATGTAGCAATTCCCCAAGATGAATGTAATTATTATGTGTCAAAACCATATGCTAGTAAAAAATTTAAAATGCATTTATGTTTATACACATAGGGTGGAGGTAATTTTTTTTAGAGTATTTTTAGTGTACCTTTGTTCTGGCATGAGTCCAGTTCTGGAATTATCCACCTGTGGCATTATGTTAATGTTCAGAGATTTGGGATTATGGAACATTTAAAACTTTTGAGATGCTCAATCTGTACTGTAAAACTCTTAGAAGGAAACTAAGAACTGAATCTTTATGACTACGGTAGAGGCAAAACTCCTTAGATACAGCATCAAAAGCACAGTATACAAAAAGAAAAAAAATGTTAAAAGAAAATTGTATACTTCATCAAAATTAAACACCTTTGCCCTATGAAGTATACAATTAAGAGGATAAAAAGACAAGTTGTACATTAGGAAAAATTTTTTATAAAACATATATGACCAGCCTGAATCTTATCAACCAGCTTTTAGTTAGCAGCTTTTAACATGGACAAATCATCTGTTTAAAACAGAC